CCCCCCAGACCGCCGCCACAACCGAGCCCCCTTTTCTGTGGCTAAGTGATGATGATGAGGGGAGGAAGCACCTTGTCCTCAGGCAAAGCCAGTCTCCGGAACTGTCTACAAACACGTCAAAAAATATAAGATCACGTCTAGCATAACAGCGTACGCGATGTTTCACGAAACACTGTTCCCCGGCGACGCACCTGGCGCACATACCAAGGACCAAGGCGTACGGCGCTGATTTCCGAAACTGGTCCATAGCTGAGCGATACTCTAGTAAAACAAGTGTGCAAAATTTGCACACCAACGTGTGCAAATTATGATTTTGCACATCACATGGTGTTTAATTCAAGTTGCACACTTGCGTGGTGTGCAATAGGAAGCATGTGGTGTGCAGCTGCTAGACTTTTCGGAAGTGTCGAAAGTTTAAACACCAATTGACGTATAACCTAGTTAGACACCACAAAGTGTCTAAATATTGCTCACTTGAACTTGGTGAAAACACCAATTGACTTCCGAAGTTGAACACTTGTTGTACCAGTGTAGCAAAGTGCATTACCCCACTTACCTAAAACGTTTCATTCTGTTTGTTGTTTCTTTGTTTGCCTGTGTGAATGCATGACCATGACAACTCAAGAAGGATTTCAGATAGCGATCTGTAAATTCCAGGGTCGTTTATCATCTTAAAAGGACAATTCAAAGATAAGCTTTCTAACTCAAAAATTAACCTCTCAAATAATCAAAATCCACAGGTCCCAATATATATTTTATTAAAACAATATTTCTTATTACTGGTTCCTCATAGGTCCCACCTTCAAGTAACCCGCAAGAAAGAAAATCTCATTCTTTTTCTTCCAAAGTTAAGGCCCTAGGGCATATTTTGACTATACTACCAAATGTCGAATAGCGATAGCGAAGCCCATAACTTCACTAACGTAAAAAGTTACATTCCGTTACTGCGTTTGTTTGTTCGTCTGTCTGTATCCACGATAGCTCAAAAAGGAATAGACTAACTGACGATCTGAAACTTAAAGGGTCGTCCTACGCCATAGAAAGACAGAGCGAACTCAAAGATGAGCATTCCAGCCCAATAGTTGGCCCCTGAAGGAAATCAAAAACAACAGGTCACAAAATACATTTCGAAATATTTTATTATGAGTTCCTGAGGGCACGGTAAAAACAAGCCCTTGGAATCCCAGGAGTTTTTTCCGTTTCCCAGGGGAGTTGGAAGAGTCCCAGGAGATCTCCTGGAAATGTCTAATTTTTCCCAG